ATCAAAGAAGCATGCTGTCTCTTCCAATAAAATAATTATTTTATCATCTGACTGACTGTATAAATTGTATTTTAAACATTTGATTTAAATAATAATGAGATTTGAAAATATGAGAGACATTCAATTTTTTACAATCGTTTTGAGAATAAATTGACATATTGCATTGTTGGAAATTTATTCGTGGAAGTGAAAGGGTCCTTGTCATGATCCCATATTTATTTTTAAAAATATTTTTTATTCAATTCAGTATTTGACATTACAGAGTTATACATGGAGTAGCACGTCTTGTAGCATACTTGTTAGGTATAGGTTACCTATACAGCAGACAGCAGGTCAGCAAGTTTAAGTTCGCTACAGGTGTCCATCAAAGTTTACACATGGTGAAAATGGGCAAATATTTGCCATATTTATTAACTAAGTGTGGAGCTAAATCCTTACAAATTGGTTGTGTAAAAAAAAAATATATTTCAAAAAAATATCATGATCCCATGTTTATCAGATGGTGGTTCCTAGATGCCAGGGGGCATGGGTGGCCCAGTTGTCTAGGGCGCCGCGATTCGCTATGCAGAGTTGCGTCCCTTGGGCACGCCAGAAACCTATGATTGTGGGTTTGAATCCTGGTTCGCCCCAATTATGTTTCTTGGTTTGTCAGCACCATACCCGTAGGTTTTACTGAAGTGGTAAATGTCTGAGACCTCAATCACTATGGACTTTCCTCCAACATTAAGCTAACATGCCATGATATAAGTGTGATAATGTTAAAACTGGTGTAAAACCCAACTCACTCATTCATTCCTTGTTGATGCCATGTGATATAATGATATATTCTTAACTTGATGCCTGACCTTGATCAGTTCTCTGCGACATATCCTTGATACTCTCCTCTGTGACATATCCATGTCACTCTCCTGTCCTCAGTGACATATCCTTGTTACTCTCCTGTCCTCTGTGACATATCCTTGTTACTCTCCAGTCTTCAGTGACATGTCCTTGTTACTCTCCTGTCCTCTGTGACATATCCTTGTGACTCTCCTGTCCTCTGTGACATATCCTTGTTACTCTCCAGTCTTCAGTGACATGTCCTTGTTACTCTCCTGTCCTCTGTGACATATCCTTGTTACTCTCCTGTCCTCTGTGACATATCCTTGTTACTCTCCAGTCTTCAGTGACATATCCTTATTACTCTCCTGTCCTTGTTACTCTTCTGTCCTCTGTGACATATCCTTGTTACTCTCCTGTCCTCAGCGACATATCCATGGTACTCTCCAGTCTTCTGTGACATATCCATGGTACTCTCCAGTCTTCTGTGACATATCCATGTTACTCTCCTGTCCTCTGTGACATATCCATGTTACTCTCCAGTCCTCTTTGACATATCCATGTTACTCTCCAGTCTTCTGTGACATATCCATGTTACTCTCCAGTCATCTGTGACATATCCATGTTACTCTCCAGTCCTCTGTGACATATCCATGTTACTCTCCAGTCTTCAGTGACATATCCTTGTTACTCTCCTGTCCTCTGTGACATATCCTTGTGACTCCCCTGTCCTCTGTGACATATCCTTGTTACTCTCCTGTCCTCTGTGACATATCCTTGTTACTCTCCGGGTCCTCTGTGGCATATCCATGTTACTCTCCAGTCCTCTGTGACATATCCATGTTATTCTCCAGTCCTCTGTGACATATCCATGTTACTCTCCAGTCCTCTGTGACATATCCATGTTACTCTCCTGTCCCCTGTGACATATTCTTGTTACTCTCCCGCCTCTGGGATATGTCCTTGTTACTCTCCAGTCCTCTGTGACATATCCATGTTACTCTCCTGTCCTCTGTGACATATCCATGTTACTCTCGAGTCCTCTGTGACATATCCATGTTACTCTCCTGTCCTCTGTGACATATCCATGTTACTCTCCTGTCCTCTGTGACATATCCATGTTACTCTCCTGTCCTCTGTGACATATCCATTCTACTCTCCAGTCCTCTGTGACATATCCATTCTACTCTCCAGTCCTCTGTGACATATCCATGTTACTCTCCAGTCCTCTGTGACATATCCATGTTGCTCTCCAGTCCTCTGTGACATATCCATGTTACTCTCCAGTCCTCTGTGACATATACATGTTACTCTCCAGTCCTCTGTGACATATCCATGTTACTGTCCAGTCCTCTGTGACATATTCTTGTTACTCGCCAGTCCTCTGTGACATATCCATGTTACTCTCCAGTCCTCTGTGACATATCCATGTTACTCTCCTGTCCTCTGTGACATGTCGTTGTTGCTTCAACATCAATCCTTCCATGCCCTCCATCACCCACACGAGGAGTCCTCCATCACCCACACGAGGAGTCCTCCATCACCCACGCGAGGAGTCCTCCATCACCCACGCGAGGAGTCCTCCATCACCCACGCGAGGAGTCCTCCATCACCCACACGAGGAGTCCTCAATCACCCACGCGAGGAGTCCTCCATCACCCACGCGAGGAGTCCTCCATCACCCACACGAGGAGTCCTCCATCACCCACACGAGGAGTCCTCCATCACCCACACGAGGAGTCCTCCAGCCCTAACCTTACCGGACTGTGGCAATCTCATCTCTGACTCCAACATGACCAGGCAGTGATATGGTGCTATTTATAGATCTGGCATCATTGTCAGACTTAACAAGACACTGCAAGGGGGATCTGTGACAGTTGTATCTGCTGCCGTAGTAGTAGCGTAGTTGCTGTAGTAGTAGCGTAGTGGCTGTAGTTTAATCAAACCAGCCTGGACATGGCAGCAGGGCTGGGGAAGACGACCACCATTGAGGAGTTGCACCAGGAGTTCTGTATTCAGCTTTCACTGACGAAGGAGACAGTTTCCATGACCCAGTAAATGAAGCAGTTACATGTGGATCAGCCTGTCTATGAGTCATGGAGCAGATGTATTGATTTGTTTCTTAGTCGTCTGGATTTGCGGGAAAACTGCCCAAACAACTCCTTATTCTTTTGACCGTTCGTGATAATTATGTGAAATGTCCTTCTTCATTTGGTCAAAAACTGAAGATGACCCCTTGCCGATGTACGACAAATGTCATCCATGAAGACTATACAAAACCTCTCTGTAATCCATTGAGCGGATTTACCTACAACTAACTCCATATATGTAAAAATATATATGACTAAATTCTAATCCATGAATAATTCAACAATATTAACAGATTCCTTTTTTAAATCATTTGCTAAAAAACCTGTTGACAACAATCCGAAATCAGTGACATGTTCAGTGTAATGATGCAACTATGTCCCGCCCACCCTATTTTCAGCCAATCGAAAAACAGTAGACCACGAGTCAGACAAACTCGTTTTACATAATTGCAAAATATATTGCTTGGTTAGCCAATCAAATGCCACTGAATCAGTTGTTTTTTTAATTTGATAATATGTAGACAAGGAAATCTTGTACAAACACTTTGAAATTACATCTCCGTTACCTGTCTGTCGAAACAGCAGGTCTGTATCTGCCCTTCTTCCAAGCATTCTAAAGAGCTTGCGTTGCGGCGCGTCTATTTGCCACCAGCATCATGTGTTCAAATCCCCTATTTGCTTTGTGGTTCATCCCCAAATAATATATAAATACTGAAGAACTTATCAAAGCAACGCTAAATTTAACTGTACTCAGTGATATTGCTGTCTCCCACCGTGATATTGCTGTCCCACGCCGTGATATTGCTGTCTCCCGCCGTGATATTGCTGTCCCCCGCCGTGATATTGCTGTCCCCCGTCATGATATTGCTGTCCCCCGCCGTGATATTGCTGTCCCCCGCCGTGATATTGCTGTCCCCCACCGTGATATTGCTGTCCACCGTCGTGATATTGCAGGAATATTGCTAAGATTATCCCTGTGACTACAATCTCAGGTGGTTTTGATGATCCAGCATGTTTTTGTTCGGCCTACGTGTAACTAGTGTGGATGTAAGTGCTGTGGGACTGTACCAGGCCAGGTTTCAGTGTCCCGCCCACACTCTAGGCCATGCACTGTAGGTGCAGGACAGGCTGACACTGGTGGGATGTCGTACGTGCCCACGCGCCGCTGGTGCACCATGTTCTACACATCTGCACGGAAAGTTCATAGGAGTGCTCCTCATTTGAAGCTAAAAACATCGATCATAATAATGGTGTCAACATTAACATGAAGCTATAACATTAGGGTTTCACCTCAAAATAAGCCCAAAGTTCACTGTTGACATTAGGCCATGTTAGGCAAAGTGCTGGGTCAGCATCACCAATGAAAGCAAAACTTTTCCTAAACAAACAATATTGAAAAGTTACAAGGGAACGTACATATTTTTAGATAAGTCATGAGTTTTTCTGATGAAGAGGACAAGGTATACTAGTCTCATGTTGAGTTGTTTGCTTGTTATGGTAAAGATGAGTGTCCAAATTCACTGGATTGTCAGGTCCAGGCTCGATTATTTACAGATCGCCTGGCTGCAATATTTCTGAGTGCAGCTTTAGACAACAAACAAACCTGGAACCCATAATCGTAGGATACTGATATACTCAAGGGAAGTAACTCTGCATTGCCAACTGTATAGACTGGGGTACCTGTGCCTCGTTTGTGAGAAGGTTAAGGCCAGATTTAAATGATGTCAAGATGGACGGGAAGTGTGCTTATAAGTCGATTGTAGTAACTACAAGCCTTCAGAATTATGACGAGAGATAGGGACCGAATGAGGAAACTGTAGATGCATGCCAATTGTTGAAATACATCCATGAAAATATCACTGACAGATGGCGCTTATAAAATGTTATAAAATGAACAAAAAGTTTGAACACAACATAAACTCTGCTATTTGTGGCGTTGGAAAATATTCCATGTTTGAAGAGGTATGTGGAAAACCTAATATGACAAAACTATCAGGTAAAGTACACTTACTGATAATGTGTCGGATACCCACAGACCTTGAATTTCAGAAAAGTGAATCATGTGATTAATGAGTTGGTGTTTGTTTACAGACTGCTTATGGCCGCGTGCGGAGATCGGTGCCCGTGGGTACACCTGGGGCGGATAGCCAGGTAAGGTGCATTGTGTCGGGGGTGGGGTGCATTGTGTCGGGGGTGGGGTGCATTGTGTCGGGGTAGGGTGCATTGTGTCGGGGGTAGGGTGCCTTGTGTCGGGGGTGGGGTGCATTGTGTCAGGGGTAGGGTGCCTTGTGTCGGGGGTGGGGTGCATTGTGTCGGGGGTGGGGTGCATTGTGTCGGGGGTGGGGTGCATTGTGTCGGGGGTGGGGTGCATTGTGTCAGGGGTAGGGTGCATTGTGTCGGGGGTAGGGTGCCTTGTGTCAGGGGTAGGGTGCCTTGTGTCGGGGGTGGGGTGCCTTGTGTCAGGGGTAGGGTGCCTTGTGTCGGGGGTGGGGTGCATTGTGTCGGGGGTGGGGTGCATTGTGTCGGGGGTAGGGTGCCTTGTGTCAGGGGTAGGGTGCCTTGTGTCAGGGGTAGGGTGCATTGTGTCAGGGGTAGGGTGCATTGTGTCAGGGGTGGGGTGCATTGTGTCGGGGTAGGGTGCATTGTGTCAGGGGTAGGGTGCATTGTTTTAGGAGTTTGGGTGCATTGTGTTAGGAGGTGGGGTGCATTGTGTTAGGAGGTGGGGTGCCTTGTGTCAGGGGTAGGGTGCATTGTGTTAGGGGGTAGGGTGCCTTGTGTCAGGGGTAGGGTGCATTGTGTTAGGAGTAGGGTGCCTTGTGTCAGGGGTAGGGTGCATTGTGTTAGGAGGTGGGGTGCATTGTGTCAGGGGTAGGGTGCCTTGTGTCGGGGGAGGGTGCATTGTGTCAGGAGTTGGGGTGCATTGTGTTAGGAGGTGGGGTGCATTGTGTTTGGAGGTGGGGTGCATTGTGTTAGGAGGTGGGGTGCATTGTGTTAGGAGGTGGGGTGCATTGTGTTAGGAGTCGGGGTGCATTGTGTCAGGGTAGGGTGCATTGTGTTAGGAGTTGGGGTGCATTGTGTCGGGGGGTAGGGTGCATTGTGTTAGGAGGTAGGGTGCATTGTGTTAGGAGTTGGGGTGCATTGTGTCGGGGGGTAGGGTGCATTGTGTTAGGAGTTGGGGTGCATTGTGTCAGGGTAGGGTGCCTTGTGTTAGGAGTTGGGGTGCATTGTGTCAGGGTAGGGTGCATTGTGTTTGGAGTTGGGGTGCATTGTGTCAGGGTAGGGTGCATTGTGTTAGGAGGTAGGGTGCATTGTGTTAGGAGTTGGGGTGCATTGTGTCAGGGTAGGGTGCATTGTGTTAGGAGGTGGGGTGCATTGTGTTAGGAGTTGGGGTGCATTGTGTCAGGGGTAGGGTGCATTGTGTTAGGAGGTAGGGTGCATTGTGTCAGGAGGTAGGGTGCCTTTTGTCGGGGTAGGGTGCATTGTGTCAGGGGAAGGGTGCATTGTGTCAGGGGGTGTGTGCATTGTGTCAGGGGGTAGGGTGCCTTGTGTCGGGGTAGGGTGCATTGTGTCGGGGGAAGGGTGCCTTGTGTCAGGATTAGGGTGCCTTGTGTCAGGGGGTAGGGTGCCTTGTGTCAGGGGGAAGGGTGCATTGTGTCAGGGGTAGGGTGCATTGTGTTAGGGGTAGGGTGCATTGTGTTAGGGGGTAGGGTGCCTTGTGTCAGGGGTAGGGTTCATTGTGTTAGGAGTAGGGTGCCTTGTGTCAGGGGTAGGGTGCCTTGTGTCAGGTGGAAGGGTGCATTGTGTCAGGGGGAAGGGTGCATTGTGTCAGGGGGTAGGGTGCCTTGTGTCAGGGGTAGGGTGCCTTGTGTCAGGGGTAGGGTGCCTTGTGTCGGGGGTAGGGTGCCTTGTGTCAGGGGTAGGGTGCATTGTGTGAGGAGTAGGGTGCCTTGTGTCAGGGGTAGGGTGCATTGTTTTAGGAGTTGGGGTGCATTGTGTTAGGAGGTGGGGTGCATTGTGTTAGGAGGTGGGGTGCCTTGTGTCAGGGGTAGGGTGCATTGTGTTAGGGGGTAGGGTGCCTTGTGTCAGGGGTAGGGTGCATTGTGTTAGGAGTAGGGTGCCTTGTGTCAGGGGTAGGGTGCATTGTTTTAGGAGTTGGGGTGCATTGTGTTAGGAGGTGGGGTGCATTGTGTTAGGAGGTGGGGTGCATTGTGTCAGGGGGTAGGGTGCCTTGTGTCGGGGGAGGGTGCATTGTGTCAGGAGTTGGGGTGCATTGTGTTAGGAGGTGGGGTGCATTGTGTTTGGAGGTGGGGTGCATTGTGTTAGGAGGTGGGGTGCATTGTGTTAGGAGGTGGGGTGCATTGTGTAAGGGGGAAGGGTGCATTGTGTCAGGGGTAGGGTGCATTGTGTTAGGGGTAGGGTGCATTGTGTTAGGGGGTAGGGTGCCTTGTGTCAGGGGTAGGGTTCATTGTGTTAGGAGTAGGGTGCCTTGTGTCAGGGGTAGGGTGCCTTGTGTCAGGTGGAAGGGTGCATTGTGTCAGGGGGAAGGGTGCATTGTGTCAGGGGGTAGGGTGCCTTGTGTCAGGGGTAGGGTGCCTTGTGTCAGGGGTAGGGTGCATTGTGTCAGGGGTAGGGTGCCTTGTGTCGGGGGTAGGGTGCCTTGTGTCAGGGGTAGGGTGCATTGTGTGAGGAGTAGGGTGCCTTGTGTCAGGGGTAGGGTGCATTGTTTTAGGAGTTTGGGTGCATTGTGTTAGGAGGTGGGGTGCATTGTGTTAGGAGGTGGGGTGCCTTGTGTCAGGGGTAGGGTGCATTGTGTTAGGGGGTAGGGTGCCTTGTGTCAGGGGTAGGGTGCATTGTGTTAGGAGTAGGGTGCCTTGTGTCAGGGGTAGGGTGCATTGTGTTAGGAGGTGGGGTGCATTGTGTCAGGGGTAGGGTGCCTTGTGTCGGGGGAGGGTGCATTGTGTCAGGAGTTGGGGTGCATTGTGTTAGGAGGTGGGGTGCATTGTGTTTGGAGGTGGGGTGCATTGTGTTAGGAGGTGGGGTGCATTGTGTCAGGGTAGGGTGCATTGTGTTAGGAGTTGGGGTGCATTGTGTCGGGGGGTAGGGTGCATTGTGTTAGGAGGTAGGGTGCATTGTGTTAGGAGTTGGGGTGCATTGTGTCGGGGGGTAGGGTGCATTGTGTTAGGAGTTGGGGTGCATTGTGTCAGGGTAGGGTGCATTGTGTTAGGAGTTGGGGTGCATTGTGTCAGGGTAGGGTGCATTGTGTTTGGAGTTGGGGTGCATTGTGTCAGGGTAGGGTGCATTGTGTTAGGAGGTAGGGTGCATTGTGTTAGGAGTTGGGGTGCATTGTGTCAGGGTAGGGTGCATTGTGTTAGGAGGTGGGGTGCATTGTGTTAGGAGTTGGGGTGCATTGTGTCAGGGGTAGGGTGCATTGTGTTAGGAGGTAGGGTGCATTGTGTCAGGAGGTAGGGTGCCTTTTGTCGGGGTAGGGTGCATTGTGTCGGGGGAAGGGTGCATTGTGTCAGGGGGTGTGTGCATTGTGTCAGGGGGTAGGGTGCCTTGTGTCGGGGTAGGGTGCATTGTGTCGGGGGAAGGGTGCCTTGTGTCAGGATTAGGGTGCCTTGTGTCAGGGGGTAGGGTGCCTTGTGTCGGGGTAGGGTGCATTGTGTCAGGGGTAGGGTGCCTTGTGTCAAGGGTAGGGTGCATTGTGTCAGGGGTAGGGTGCATTGTGTTAGGGGGTAGGGTGCATTGTGTCAGAGGTAGGGTGCATTGTGTCAGAGGTAGGGTGCCTTGTGTCAGGGGTAGGGTGCTTTGTGTCAGGGGTAGGGTGCATTGTGTCGGGGGGTAGGGTGCATTGTGTTAGGAGGTAGGGTGCATTGTGTCAGGGGTGGGGTGCATTGTGTCAGGATTAGGGTGCCTTGTGTCAGGGGGTAGGGTGCCTTGTGTCGGGGTAGGGTGCATTGTGTCAGGGGTAGGGTGCCTTGTGTCAAGGGTAGGGTGCATTGTGTCAGGGGTAGGGTGCATTGTGTTAGGGGGTAGGGTGCATTGTGTCAGAGGTAGGGTGCATTGTGTCAGAGGTAGGGTGCCTTGTGTCAGGGGTAGGGTGCTTTGTGTCAGGGGTAGGGTGCATTGTGTCGGGGGGTAGGGTGCATTGTGTTAGGAGGTAGGGTGCATTGTGTCAGGGGTGGGGTGCATTGTGTCAGGAGGTAGGGTGCATTGTGTCAGGGGTAGGGTGCCTTGTGTCGGGGGTGGGGTGCCTTGTGTCAGGGGGAAGGGTGCATTGTATCAGGGGTAGGGTGCCTTGTGTCAGGGGTAGGGTGCCTTGTGTCAGGGGTAGGGTGCCTTGTGTCAGGGGTAGGGTGCATTGTGTCAGGGGTAGGGTACATTCTGTCAGCAAGGGAGCGCTGTGCGGGGGGTAGGTTACATTGTGTCAGCATGTGGGATAGGGGGGTAGGATACATTGTGTCAGCAAGTCTGGGGTAGGGGGGTAGGGTACATTGTGTCAGCAAGTCTGGGGTAGGGTACATATGCACATGTAGTTTTGACAGATTCACACCTGAGTTGCACACTGGTTGCATGACGTAGACTTCATTGTTTGTCATCACATAGCTTGAATATTGCTGACTCAGGCATTCAACACCACTCTGTCATTCTCTCCCTATCCAAAATTAATTGCAATTATGTATAGAATCTATATTTCCTCAAGCACCAAGGGTTTTCTTTGTTTTACAGAAACGCAGTTCTCGATTTCACGAAGAGTTGGAGTCGGCCATGAGTCTGATGCCTATTGCCAGCTCTCCCTTAGACCCAGACATTCCCATCCGGAAGGTCATCAACACATACCCACCTGTCGCAGAGCTCTCCAGGGTCGCGACCCTTGACCTCCCGCCCACGCCCCCTCAAAGTAGCAGCTGTAGTGGTTTTGATATCCAGCAACCAGTGCGTCTCATCGGAGAAGAGGACTCTGAAAGTGGATGTGGTTGCCGTGGAGATGACCTTGAAGATGAAGGAATGGAGCTGTTTCCTCTATGCGACCTTGATATTGAACAAATCGAAAACCATTAACTCAACAGTTGTAACTCAGGAAGTTGGCATTGGGAAGAGTTATCTACTCTTGTGAGAGGGGAATTATCTCCCTTTGTCAGAACTTTACACAGTTGTAAAATATATCCGAATCAAGCCTTGCCCTTGTTGATAAGAGAATATCACAATATATTTGAAACTAAATCCAGAAAGTGCATTTTATGTGAAGTTTACTGTATTAGGGTATAACCCTACTAATTGAATGCTTAATTGTGTATGATTAGGTTTACATATTTTCATGATAAACTTTTCACGTCCTAGCGGCTGCTATTGTTGTATCCACCCGTTATGATCCACGACACGGAGGCTGCTGTGTCGACATCACTCATCTTCTCAACGCACATCAAATGACACTTATTTGCTTGTTGAGATTGTCACATTCCTAGCCCCGAGTTTCAGTATGGCGATGTTTGTCATGGCTGCACAAGCTTGTTACCAGTTTCATTTAAGATCTTCCAGTGGTGTATGCGGACCTTGATACTGCAGATTTGTTGATGTAGCATCCATTTTGTGTGTGCGTGCGTGCGTGCGTTCGTGCGTGCGTGCGTGTATGTGTGTACTTGCACATTTGTGTGTGTGTGGGTACGTGTATGTGTATGCGTATGCGTGTGTGCTTGCATGTGTGCTTGCATGTGTGTGTGCTCAATTAACTCAACTATGGTATGTCGTTGTGTATGAGTTTTTCGTACCTAGAATTAGGGGGCTTTCAAGGGGGTTCATCTTATACACAGGGTTGAAGAGTTTTGATGGTTTTGTCCCCAAGACAATGACATTACTGTTAGCATGTCACATCGGAAACACCAGGTCAACAAATCTGTACTGAAGTATGCAAACTAATCATATAAATAAGCATCGATTTTTAAGACTTGTACAGAGGGCTGGTGAATTGAAATAATAAATGCATGGACTGAAGGAGTGAAAAGTAAAACTTGTTAAGGGGAATTGTTTTAGGGAATCGTTTACATGATAAAAGTCACGTCAACTTTGATTATTCGATCTTCTTTTTCCCGTGTTTTCATTCAAACAGACCTAGATTTGGGAAATGACTTATTGTTCAATTATTCATTTGGACTGGGAGAAAATCATTGGAAACTATTTCTCTTTCAAACTTGAAGAAAAGTTTCTAGTTGAAGCTTCAATATGTATCCGTTCAGCTTTATGATGGCGGTCTGTAAATAATCGAGTCAGGACCAGACAATCTTGTGATTGTCATCATGAATCGCAATGCAATTGGGATACGATGAAAGCATCAACCAAGTCGGCGATGGACATCTGTAGGTATGGAAGCGTGACTGGGTGCGTGTGTATGGACGGCAGTTGGTGACAAAGTCTGTAGGTATGGAAGCATGACTGTGAGCGTGTGTATGGACGGCAGTTGGTGACAAAGACTGTAGGTATGGAAGCCTGACTGTGGGAGCGTGTGTATGGACGGCAGTTGGTGACAAAGTCTGTAGGTATGGAAGCTTGCGTATGGTACACAACAGCTGTGAGAGTCTGTTTCAAGTAGTGTTACACATTCACTAGATAATTGATAATATTTAAATCATTATTGTCTTATATTGCTTGTTTTGTTTTTTTAATTTAATTCCACTTGATTTAGGAATCCACAAATTGATACCCACCGGTAAATAGCACCTCCATGTAAATATCACAGATCAGGTTGTAGAAATACACGCAGGATATTTTTCATCCAAGATGTAGATTTTGAAATCCTGATCCCTAATCGTGTGGCATGTTAACACATAGCAAGATAACAAGGTATTTGTTCCCTCTATGTAGAATGTCATTTTCACAGCTTTGTTGGAAGTTATTGTTTTTGCAATGCAAGTAGCAACAGGTGTACTTATATCTGAGCCACTTGCAAAATGCAATCTTAGTGCTATGGCTTCATTAAATCTGTGTTTAGTATGAGAGTTATCAAGGTCTTAGTGCTGAGATCGTTTAGTGCAAGGGCACTGAAACAAGTATGGAAGGCAGGTTTTGCATTGTCAGCTTTATAATTGTTTAGCACATTGAATCAGTATGTCATTGTATGGGTTTCGATAATTACGGAGACTCGTTTGGTGGAATCTAGAGTTTAATAAGTACCTTGTAGGTTATTCAGTTTTTGTTGTGACATCTTCACTGCTCATCCTGCATGTGAGACCGGTGTGACACTCAAGTCTGATGGCCACAGTGTCTCAGGCTAGAACTTGTTTTGGGGAAACTATTATTTCAGTCTGGTTCTGTAGAAGCTGCTGCTAATTAGGTTAGAAACATTCCAAGATTCTGTTTGACCATGTTATGAACAAACACGGGAGGACAAAAAACATGCACAAGCTTGATAGACGTAATCAGAATTCACTGCAGAGTAGATAGATGAAATTAATGTACCTCTTTTACATCACTAATTTAATAGCTTTGTAATTTTTTTAATTGTTTTTGTACAATATCTCAAGTTTGAAATTAACTTAAGCATTGAAGTGAGGGATACTTTCATTTTTATGAGAGCTTCGAAAGGTTTGACTGAACACTTCATTTTAGGATGCACTGATTATTTTGAGTGTAAGAATTGTAATGAAATATTCTCCTTGAATGATAAAAATGATTGTTATCAACGGAAAATGATTCTACGCGGCAAGATTGCTTTGGTACATCTTGAGCTGTGAATCTTTTTACAGATTGTTGCTGTTTTACTAACATAATAACCATGGTTACGCAGTGACCTGATGAACAAAATGGCAGTTGCTTCCTAACAACTGATGACCTACTAACGAATGTGTTGTTCAAATACATCGGGCCATAACATATTTATTACAGGATTTCTCATCTCATCCCTAATGCTGCTTCATACCATCAGAACATCATTATTTTCCTAGCATTTTTAAGGTCAGATATAAGATAAAAACATCTCTCTATTTTTCGAGAAGATATGAATGGAAATTTAATAATGAGTATGTTATGGCCCCAAAGCAGTCATTATTAACCAAGTCATATTTCGCAAGACTATTTTCTGTGAGTTTAGCCTTGATACTTTGTCGGCCACAAGTGGCATTGATGGCCTGTGTATAGATGAAATTTGTAATTTTCATGAAGGTTATATAATATTGAATACACTCTGAAGCCACAGTCATAGCATCACTATTTGAGTAGAAGGAATTACAAACTTTGGTAAATAAGCAATTGGTTAACCATTTGTTAGATGATGTATTTGGGCTCAGAGTCTTGGTTAAGTTCACAGTGTTTGAGCACGGTGTACAACTGCAGAGGAATGCAGTGTGACAATGTGGACATGTTCACCAGCTTGGTGGCTCTACATTTAATTGGACATATCTATGTAGGTTTCATTACTGTCTCTCTCACTCCAACCTGCCCATTGTATTCCTCCCTATTTCAGCTCCGGCTCAACTACACCCTTCTCCCACCCCAGCATTGTCCTCCCCTTGCAGAACTCTTCCCCTCCCCCTCCCCCTCCCCCTCCCCCTACAAACACACCCATTCCATGCCAATGTCGTCAGCCACAAGCATTCCCCTCTCTGACAGGCACATTGCTCTCCAATACCCTATATTCATGTCCCACAAAAGCACAAGGCTTTCCATACCACATCCCAACTCCACATACCCCTGCCTTGTAGTTAGATGCCCCATCCCTCCTGAGCTCAACCCCTCACCCTGAGATTTAGACGTCTCCTGAGCTCAGACCCCCACCCTGTGGATTTAGATGCCCCACCCCTCATTAGCTCAACCCCTCACCCTGTGGATTTAGATGCCCCACCCCTCCTGAGCTCAACCTCTCACCCTGTAGATTTAAACCTCTCCTGAGCTCAACCCCTCACCCTGTGGATTTAGATGCCCCACCCCTCCTGAGCTCAACCTCTCACCCTGTAGATTTAGACCTCTCCTGAGCTCAACCCCACACCCTGTGGATTTAGATGCCCCACCCCTCCTGAGCCCAACCCCTCACCCTGTAGATTTAGACCTTTCCTGAGCTCAACCCCACACCCTGTGTATTTAGATGACAAATCCCTCCCAAGCTCAACGACACACATTGTTGATTTAGATGCCCCTCCCCTCCCCTCCCGAGCTCAACCCCACCCCTCCCGAGCACAACCCCACACCTTGAGGATTTAGATGCCCCTCCCCTCCGAAGCTCAGCCCCACCCCTCCCGAGCATAGCCCCACCCCTCCCGAGCTCAACCCCACACCTTGAGGATTAAGATGCCCCTCCCCTCCCAAGCTCAGCCCCACCCCTCCCGAGCATAACCCCACCCCTCCCGAGCTCAACCCCACACCCTGTGTATTTAGAAGCCCCACCCCTCCCGAGCTCAACCCCTCCCGAGCTCAACCCCTCACCCGGTTTCTTTTCATTCCCCATCCCTCCCGAGCTCAGACGGTTTCAATGCCTCCTGTCTACAGCCCTGTTGCCATTCCCTCACTGCCGCCATGACACTACACTTTAAGGGACCGATATAAGCATCCTGTGATCAGTCAATGTGTTTAGCGTTGCTTAGAACCAGCCGGAATTGAGACTGTGACACTACAGTACAGCACTTGCAGCTTGGTCGTAGTATTCTCATCACGTGGGGATGTATATTTGTATACATTGAATATTTCATGATAAAAAAACAAAAAATGACACCAGTGTGTATTAATCACAAGTAAATATTCTATATTGGATATGGCATTTACTGTAGGCAATCCTAAGTCGGCAGATATGGATCCGACTGTTTTGGTTCAGTGCTGAGACTGTTTTGGTCATGTGCCGATTGTTCCGGTCACAGCGCCGGTGGAACGCACAGAGTGTGGATGCTGTGTCCACGCTGTGTTATAGAGAGCTAGTCAATGCAGAAAGTTAGAATGGGATACATACCCTGTTTATCTGTCAATTTATGAATAAATTTGCTGTGAAATAGACTCTATTTGTTATTTTCATTTTCAGTCCAAAGCATCAAATTCTTACAGCTGGGGGCCGGTCGGGTAGCCAAGTGGTTAAAGCGTTCGCTCGTCACACCAAAGGACTGGGTTCGATTTCCAACATGGGTACAATGTGTGAAGCCCATTTCTGGTTTCCCCCACTGTGATATTGCTGGAATATTGCAAAAAGTGGCGTAAAACCACACTCACACACTCGGATTCTATACAACATTCCATTGCTTGATCTCCACAACCCACCGGGACCTGGTCCACAGAAAATCTTAAAGTTAGGAATATTGCAGGTTAACACAGACATAGAATTGTTAAAGTGCATACCCGTGTTATAATCGTGTCTGAATCGGACAATCCAGTGATATCAAGAGCATCAATCCACACAATTGGGATACGATGATTTGCATCAACCAAGTCAGTGAGCCTGACCACCTGATCCCGTTAGTCGCCTCTTATGACAAGCATGGGATTCTGAAGACCTATTCAACCCAAGATCTTCATGGGTGTTATCAGTTCCTGCAATGCTCTTATCTGCTGTTCCAAAACTTGCCACAATACTGTGACGACGACGTAAAACCAACTCACCTCACTATTCACTATTCAAGTTGAACAACACTGCAATCAGCAATATTCCAGCTACATGATGGCAGCCTGTAAATAATCAAATCTGGACCAGACAATCCAGTGTGCACGCCACTAGGTACAATGATTCTATGAACCAATTCACCGAGCCTCGCCACTTGCCTCTAACAACCAATTAAAGTTGCCGAAATCCCACTGTGGAAAGAAAAGCGCAAAGTCGTGCCTCTTCAGCAGCCCCTCTTAAGTTTGTTTTTTGATAATGGAGCCAATTTTAGATGCCAACCTTTTTCATCCTTAAGAGTGACATGGGACATATTGGCATCGGTTTCACTGTGTGAGGTCTTAAAAACTTTTTTCCCCAAACTACTGCATCCCAAGAGGAGTGTCGACATAATGGTTGGGTGTGCAATACAGTAGACATTAGTTGCCTATATATGTACATAACAGGTGCAAAATAGTTCGCCAATAAGAGATTTACGGCTCGTTGGCGACCATACCGGTCACTACTTGGGAAGGCTGTTCAGGAAAACACACAATCATGAGCAGTTTACACTTTATTCACATTTTCACTACATTCAGTGACAGGTTAGATTTTCAAAGCTTCTTAGATATGTGTATTGGCACATATTAAATCTATTTATCATAAAGGACAAGAATATGCAGTGATATTTCTCACGATATGTCGGTGTTAAGCAGGATATCGTGATTCCCTCATCACTGCTATGTCATGTGACAGTTTGCACATAGTGAAAACCTTCAGACAATCCAAAATAACTCACTGAAAAGATAACGACCACCTGATTCTTTCATCTAAACTGTCATGCCTTGAATTGGGAGGAGTACATATGGTGAGTGAGTGAGTTGGGTTTAACGCCGCTTTTAACAGTATTCCAGTTATATCGCGGCGTGTCAGCTTTATGTGGGAGGAAAGCCCGAAGTGATGCAGGTCTTGGACATTTACCACTTTGGTGAAACCCACGAGCACAGGTATGGTGCTGACAAACCTAGAAACATAATCAGGGCGAACCGGGATTCGAACCCACAATCATAGGTTTCTGGCGCGCCCAAGGGACGCAACTCTGCTCAGCAAATCGCGGCGCCTTCGACGACTGGGCCACCTGGGCCACCTGTGCCCCCAAGTACGCATGGAGCGAGTTTGGTGCCACATTGAACAGTACTTCAGTTATATCATGGCATGTCAGCTTGATGTGTGAGGACAGTGATGCAGGTTGCAGATGGTGACCCGGTGAAACCCACGGGTATGCATGGTGCTGACGAACCAAGAAACAATCAGGGTGTATCAGGAATCAAAACCAAGAAACTTTGGAATGCAACTGCACAACAACGGCAGTGCCTTCGTAGAACAACTGGAGTCCATTGTGTAAACCCCATGGAGTTCAAAAGGGTTCACTGTAATTGATCAGGATTTGCACGAAACGATCAAAGAATATCATTTTAGTCCTGGCCCTGGAGTCTTGGACAGTCCTGTTTCACCCAAACACCCCGATGTCGGTAAGATGGTTAACCCACCGTCACTGCGTGGTCTCTCTCAGGCTTTGTATAATGGCCTACATTGCTATCATTGTGAGACTTGGTATGTGAGAGATAAACTAAGGCAAGAAACCCAACTATTTTGACCTTGTACAGCATTCAGAAGGTTATTGTGCAACATGTGCCAGATATATGAACAGAATCAATGGTAAAGGTCTGAACAGTTCTAGACATGAAGACGACCTATGCTGGTGGTTTGTGGGGACTTTCAAATGGTGGTGGAAAACACCTTGAACAAACTCTACACAACCCGGTGACTAGTAATTCATTGGATTCAAGTGTGCGAGGGAGTGAATGTTGTTTGATGAGCAAAAACCTACGCCATCTTAGCATGACACACTAGTCCCCGAGACCACCAGTCCTTATTAGTCCGATGACACATTGCACAGACCACCCAGTCTTTAATAAATCCGATGACAAGCATGAGATGGACGACACCAGACTGCCATAGACTGGTAGGTACAGCAACCAGTTCCGTAGTCTGATTACACAATGTCCGACACACAGGAAGCAGCTCTGATATCACAGAAACTTCCAGCCCTCTAGCAGCTATTTAGAACAGGTTCGGCTTGAGTCTAGGCCAAAGATTTACCCATGTGGCCAGACCAATTGTTTCTTCCATGATTTGTGCAAAAGTCTGCCTTCAGTTCGTAAAAAGCAGGAAATAAACTGATACAAAACAGATTCATTTTGACAGACATCTGTAAATCTTATTTCACGTTATATATATTTATTATCAAGTCCCAAAAAGACGAAGTTTGAGAGTTTGTTCTCATATTTTCAATACTTGTAACTTTAGAAAACTGTTTCTACAAAACTCTTCCTTAAACTGCATACCTGGTGCCGGTCCACCCATCCACCCTGAATGAGTGACTCCGTGACCCAGTTACCCTGAAAGGGTGGCCAGTATGGAAACAACAGAGGCAATGTTCGATTCACAATACCCCAATTTCATGGCATAACAAGAATGGGTGACATTTCTAAGAATGAAAAAATAATATTTAATGATTACATATACGATGATTTGAACGAACAAATGTCTAAAACTAAATGATGTTGACATGCAAGTGAACAACGTTTGAGATATACTGCTGGCGATAGTGAAAGAGGGTTCCCATCACGGGAATGAGAGGGTGAGTTTGGTTTAATGCCGCTTCGAACAGTATTCCAGTCACATTGTGCCAGCTTAATGCGTCAGGAAAGCCCAAAGTGATGAAGGTGACAGACGTTTACCACTTCGGTGAAACCCACGAGCACGGGTATGGTGTTGACAAACCTGGAAACATTATCAGGATGAACTGGGATTCATACCCACAATCATAGGTTTCTGGCCTGCCCAAGGGATGCAACTCTGCACAGCAAATTGCCCATCACTGGAATATTTTCTTCCTTTCATCATTACAACATCAATGTTCTCCGTCAGCAAGAAGTATGAAAATACTTCATGGGTTCACAATCCTGTGTAGGATTGATCTAGGTTTTCTGGGAATTGACGTGTGAATCACGTTCTTCTCGGCGGTGCCATTGGTGTTCGGGGGATCATAGATTGGGAGTGGCATGGTGCATTCAGATAGGAAGGCCAGATCAATGAATTCTCTTCATGTACAGACAAGACTACCTTGCAAAAGTAATCTTAAAAAAACACTTTTTGTTAAAATATTATTAACCCCCAAACAACACATTGGCACATTGACCGAAAGTGGCCTCAAGACGAGAAACAAAATTTGTCTGGCCCAAGATAGAGACAATACAAACTGAAGGCTCCTGCAAACACTCAGATGTTTCAAGGCTTATTCTCATTGCTACAAACTCGAACATTACAAATCTCACTACTCCTAACTAAGAAGTATATATGCTGTTACCATGGTTACATGTGAAAAGTGAAAGAGTTTGGCTTGACAAAATATACAAATTATATCATACACATCTGCAACACATAACTTCGCTTTAAATTTCATAGATATATGTTATGCACCCACAAAACAAAAAGCAAATCAAAACTTAAATATCAAGAAAGAATATTTCTTGTTTGATAGTCAATACGTTCATTGTTACCACATCATTTGTTGATGAATTCTCAAAATAATGTAATGTTGTTCAAAACTTTGTTTATATAAAGCACAAAATAAAGATGACGACACAGATTATAGATGAATATACATATGCTCACACTTCTCTCATTCAAAACACATACTAGTAAACCTACCTATACATATCTAGAATCACAATATTCAGGTACAAATCTGTCTATGTATCACTGGACACAATATCACTCCAGAACTAACATAAAAATTGACGATCCAAATCAATATTTTAGTTAATGAGCATAATTCATATTGAATGGAATATGAAGTGAGTGTACATCCATTAGCACTTATTATTGGAACACAGCTCTCTGCCCGGACAAACCATAGTCAATCACATTTTACAGATGATCTATCTCAAAAGTTAGGAAAAGTGACAAAATAGAGAGAGAAAACCAAAAACAAGAAAACTATTTTTCTTTTGACAATGTTTTCATAACATTTTCTGTTTTCATTTTTGCTTAAAAACTGAATGTCATACAGGGGAACTGCTGGGGTTGATTTAACTGCTGGCCCTTTGGCCTGTGGCCAGCTAAAATATCAAAGGGCTTGCTGAAACATAAAGTAGATGGCCCATCTGCTAAGCAAACATTTCACCCCTTTCCATGTATACCAGTATTTATTGTTTTTGAATAGGATCATCTTGGTAGAGTGACAACTGGCTGACATTTTGTAATGTTGTGAACAACAACTTGTTATTTGCTCATAAATCCCTATGAAATGAGGCAAGTGGAAACCAAGATTTAATCTCAGAGTGCAGAAAAAATTGTTTTAGGGGTGAGGAGTTCTAACATTTTCAGAGCCACTTAGTTGTAGGCAAGCTAGTTTGGAGAAGGGCCAGTAACCCTGCTGGCTACATACAAATTTGTTGTTAAATCTACCCTTGAACTGTTCTACCTTGGAGCTCCCACAGGGAGACAAACATGTTACATGTCTCTGCTGAATCATGTACTGACATGTTAATCAATGACTTTGAATGAAAAGCTTAGAATAGACAGGTAATGTGTTTAGTCCTGAGTCTACATGGGAGCTGACAGGATACAGCTCTGTTGTTGAGACCAGTGGGAGACAACCAGAAGACATCAGTCTAGTGTCTAGCAGGTCCTGTGTGCCCCCGGCAAGTGTCCTCTCCAGGTGGAGGAGTGAATAGGTTGGTACATACCTAACATGTGCAACAGTGTTCCTGTGTTGAGGGTTTGAACGCATTCATGACATATCAACAGATCCAAGCTATTGCAATTCACATGGTGAATGTATTTACTCGCTGTCTATCACACACAGTCAGCATTCACCTCACGACATTCACATCAACAAACACATGTCTTCACAGAAGAATATCTTAACAAGCAACAAGGGGAGATAACTCTGTCACTGAGCATTTCAAACATACCACTTCCAGTTGCCAAGGATATCAATAAACAAGTTGAAGACATCTATATTTCACTTCTTGTTACATCGCCTTGGGTACTTTACATCCAATGAGGCCAATCACAAAATTGACATAAAATTAAGCCCTAATTTTGTTAATACTGACATCAACATACAAACATTCACTGGAAACTTGCTTTCTTTTCCAAAGTCTTCACAGTGAATGAGCTTCGAAAAGTACTTCGGTTATACCACGGTGTGTCAAAGTCATGAAGAAAGTTCAAAGTGACAAAAAGTGTAGACATGTACCACTTTTACATGTGGTGCTGTCACCACAAAGGATCATAATCAGGGCAGCTTTCCATCCTGGCACAGCAAAGGGATGCAACTCTGCACAGAAAGATGTTGTGCCTAGACAACTGGGGCAGCCATGCCCTAATAAACTTTATAAGATCATTATCACTCTGAATGCAACTCATATTTCATGATATGCCATTTCCTTCGAAATGCACATACCACTTAAATCAACAGATGATTTTCCAAATCCTTAGAACTGTTTACCTATGTAATAAAAATATCATTTCCAAAATGTCAGAAGTGTACCATAAAAAATTAGAGAACTGTACAACTGCCCCAAAACAGATCTTAAAAATATATCTACAAATTACAATATAAATATCTGGATATTTGGCAATTGAAGTCTTCTGAAGCAGCAGACAATAATTTACATGGAAATATAGACTTGAAAAGTGGTGATTTCCTATCATTCATCTCAGTTGACAGGGAAATAGTATCTTCAAGTAGAGCAGCTGGCAGTCACAATGTCCTCACAACACCTCATAGTATCACACAACACTGATTTGTTTTCTTGGCCTGCAATACACAAAAACATCTCTTGTAGAGGGCACATTCAAATTTCTGTAAAAGAAATTAAGATATAAAATATATAAATAAACATCTTTTAAAACTTCTTTTACTTTTTTTAATAACACCAACTATGCATTCTGATTCATATGAGGACAGAAGTACCTGACCTATGAATTGCTCTCGGAATGAATTCACAATAATCTCAAAGTCTGATACTGGAATGTTTCAATAAGACCACAACAAATCTAACAGTGTATCGTATCAAAAACTCTGTCACATGACATGGGCCAGAAGAGACAACTGAATGTATCTTTAACAGAGGATCAGTATTAGATACAGTGTGGTGGTTTTGTGCCATAACACTTCAATGTGGGATGAAACTCCACAGAGACGAGGGTTGTACACATTAACCACCCTAGCATGCCTAGTGCAGCCAATGATTGTTTGTTTGTTTGTTGTTCAACGCCCACTCAGCAATATTCAAGCTATATGACGGCAGTCTGTAAGCAATGGAGTCTGGATCAGACAAGCTTGTGATTGACATCATGAGCATCAATCCATGCAAATGGGGTATGACGACATGCAACAACCAAGTCAGCGAGCCTGATCACCCGATCCCGTTAGTCGCCTCTTATGGCAAACATAGTTGCTTTTTGCAGTAAGCATGGGTTGCTGAAGACCTATTCACGGGACACACCCGCTTATAGTGTCAGCCCAAATACAACAAGCATGAGAACGGTACTTTGTACATTCATCACCAAGGAAACTTCCAAATCATCTTTTTGGAAAGCTGTCATTAATCATTTTTACATAGACCTGCTGGAAACAACGGGGACTCACGGTTTTATAGAAAGCTTTGGACTGTGTACTGAGGCCCTCAGACTTGTCCACGAGATCATCCAGCTTCTCCCCACGCTGCAGGACGGCATCGATTGTGTTGTGCTGGAAAAGATTTTCAGCTGAATGAATATCTGACTGTTTGTTTGTTTGTTGTTTGTTTAATGCTGCACTCAGCAATATTCCAGCTATATGACGACAGTCTGTACATAATCGAGTCCAGACCAGACAATCCTGTGATTAACATCATGAGCATCGACCTACGCAATTGGGATACGGTGACATGCACCAACCAATTCACTGAGTCTGAGCCCCCAATCCGGTCAGTCGCCTTTTACAAGCATGGGTTCTGACTGAGTGGGTGAGTGAAAATTGTTTCCTGCCAAATCAGCAATACTCCAGGTATATCCTAGCTTTCCTTTACACCATGAAGTCTTGGGCAGACAAACCAGTGGTTGATGGCATGAGTAATGTCCCATGCCAACGGATTTGGTTAATGCACATCCTGCCTCGCGTAGCACCCCCTGGCTCTCATTACAGTCCCGACCGGTGGGCATTCCAGGTTAGAATAGGCCCCCGGCAACCTACGCTGGTCGTAAGAGGCAACCGCAGATCGGGGCATCAGGCTCAGTGACTAGGTTGATAATGTTATTGTACCCTGACATGGTGGATCAACACGCGGATTCGATTATTTACTGGCTGCAGTGATAGAAACTTAGTTTTAGTCCACTAATCCTTATAATGAAAACATCTAGTAAAACCCTTAATAATGGCAAATTTCTACTAGACCTTATGATACCTTAACTATTGGGCAGTTTGGCAAGGACTATAGGACTAGTGCCAATATCTAACGCTGAGCCGCCGTCATATAAATAGAATATAAGTGTAGTGTTAGTTAAACAACAAACATTTCAGTCACACTCTCACAAAAAGTCTGGAGTGGACCTATTGTGACCCATCATACTTTGCCCCTGAGTGGTTGTTGAAGGTTGTTAGATGGAGCAGTCAGCAACATTCCAGCTAGAAACAAGCATGAAATACTCATGTCCCCCGCCAATATGACATGTCTGGTTGTGTGCAAGGCAAGAAATATTGAATGGTTTTCAAGATCTGCTCAGAGATCAGCTCTTAGTCAAAGTCGTTACTATGGAAACTTGAAAAATATATTTTTCAAAAATCCTCAACTATCAAAAGGCAACAGTTTACCACTAGACCTATCTATGTGCCAAGTTAAGTTAAGATATCTCTCATGGTTTTTGAGTTCTGCACCGGAAACGAAACATGGCAGACGGACGGCACCCATTCCTATATCCCCCTTCCCCTTTGTGGCTGGGGATAATAATTGGCTTGGTGAACAACTTGACAGCATAAACACTGACGCACAGCTTCAGGATGACATGACACAGACTGGTCAGCTGTACCTTGTAATCACCAGACCTCATTTAGATGTCAGTCTTGCTACAAGTGTGGTACTGGGGAACTATTCTGCCACAACTCCACCCATAAACGTCATCAACTCACCAATATTATCTTAGTCTCATCCAGGTCATTCTGTATCTTCGTCATTGCATCAGCTTCCTTGGGGTTCTGGTATTTCTGAAGGTATTCATTCAACTGTGGGAAGTTGATTTGACTGAAATAGAGAAACAGATCATCTACCACTGGTCGCTGGTGTACACAGAGAATCTCACCCCACGATACATAAGAGAATCTCACCCTATGATACAGGGAATCTCACCCCAAGATACAGGGAATCTCACCCGACAATACTCCAGAGAATCTCACCCAATGATACATAAGAGAATCTCACCCTATGATACAGAGAATCTCACCCCAAGATACAGGGAATCTCACCCGACAATACTCCAGAGAATCTCACCCTATGATACAGAGAATCTCACCCTTCAATACAGAGAACCTCACCCAATGATACATAAGAGAATCTCACCCTATGATACAGAGAATCTCACCCTACGATACAGGGAATCTCACCCAACAATACTTCAGAGAATCTCACCCTACATTACAAAAAGAATCTCACCCCAGTGTGTTTTGATATCAAAGATACTGATGGAAATGAATCAGCATGAAAAGGGAACACTTAGTTTTAGACACAGTAAAATAATATGCTATCATGCGGTCCAGCCTTGTCTTCCAAATACACATTGGAAACAATGCACACAAACATGTCTCAACATTTGATACAGATATGTGTTGAATTTGTATGCGCTCTATTTCAAATGTACGAACAGCAAAGCTTATTTCCCATTATTTTTCATTGTTCCCTTATTCGTTTCCATCAGCATATATCCACAAATGTTGAAATATTTGACATCAACATGATCAAAGGACAAAAGGGTAAGACTATATTTATCATCCTAAATTTTTCAGTTTGTAAACAGTAATAACCAGTGTCTTGAGTGTACAAAGTACAGCTAACCAGCTTTAGCAGCAGAGGGATTAGTGATGTCATTTGATTCTGATGTCATGGTAGCTGATGACATCACAATGGTCTGCAAAGCATTGTGATGCAATTTCAACCAAGTGATATCTCCTGTGGAAGCCAATTTTTTTAGTAAAACTGATAGTATCAGCCGAGGAATGACCAAGACAAGCAAATAATTTCTCCAGTGAAAATCGAGCCATGATAACAGCAAAGGGAAACTCAGTCTGTGACTCTACTTGTCTGAACTTGGCTCTTCTAATCTTTTGCATAATTTGTAGTCCAGTTAAGCATCTTTTGTTTTATCCAGTGGACAATCATTAGACCAAGCAGAAGGTTACTTGACTCTATTTACTAAATCAACTGGATCATTTTGCCGAGGAAGTAATGCTTGTTTTCTATACACATGACAAAGTGAAGCCCTACCCGCTACTGAGGACATCCCAGTTCGACTTCGGGTATTTGGCAGCAAACTCATCAAGCACCTGAAACAATAATGACGAGGTGGTACAGTGAAGGACTTGGTTTTCATGCCGCTTTGAACAGTATTCCACTTATATCACATCGTCCCAGCTCAATGTGGGTGAGTGTGAGTGAGTGAGTTAAAATTTAACGTCACATCGGCAATATTTCAGCCATATAGTGACTATGTGGGTGGAAAACCCGAAGTGATGCAGGTCTTAGATGTTTGGTGCTGACAAACCTACAAACATAATTGGGGTTAACCGGGATTTGATCCCACCATAATATATTTCTGGCGTCATAGACGACTTTGCCACCTATGCACACAATGCTGCCCCCCAACCCCCCCTGCCAAATTTAGATACCTCTCATCCATGTTTATTACCGTATATCGCTGTGTATAAGGCGACCCCACGTATAAGACGACCCCCCTGTACACGCCTTAAAAATCAACCCAAAATCCTATACTCCGTGTATAAGGCGACCGGGAATGAAACATATCACAAGTCTGACTGATATAGAAGATTAACGTGCGCTTTCCGACTGTAGCGTATTTCGCACACGGACATCAGAAGTTAGTTAGTTACTTTGGAGATTTAACGTGCGCTTTCCGACTGATGCGTATTTCGCACACATTACAAGTGCGCACACAAACCTTATATATGCAATAAAAATATGTTTATCTTGCGTTGTTTTTGTTGTACTTGTTTTTCATTGCTGGTGTAATACCGAATAAAATGTTTTATTTCAAGAACACATATCAACGTCCCCACTCCTAAAACATACACCAATGTCATTGTCACACTACGTTTGCAAATACTTGATTCTAATCACTGATTCAGGAATCAAACCACAATAACATGACCCTTAATAAAGGCAATGTGCCATGTCATAACAACCAGTAGTGTTATTTTCAATAAATATATTCATTGATAAATGTTAGTTAAAGACCAACCCTGACCATGCTGACTATAAACAGTCCGCAAGGTGTCAGTGTTTCAGTTTCCAGAGATAATCTATCAAGCGAGATAATCTATCAAGCGCAATGCCAGGCACTCATGTTTGTTTGTTTATTTGTTGTTTTGCTGCACTCATCAATATTCCAGCTATATGATGGGAGGTCTGTAAATAATTGAGTCTGGACCAGACAATCCAGTGACTGACTTGAGCATCGAACCGCGCAATTGAGATACGATGACCTGCATCAACCAAGTCAGTGAGCCTGACCACCCAATCCAATCAATCTCCTTTAACAACAAGCATAGTCAACTTTTACGACAAGAATGGGTTGCGGAAGACCTATTCTACCCCGGATCATGACGGGTTCCAGGCACTCATAGTGTCCACTAGGGGTGACTATTGGTTGGGAAATGACTATTGCAATAACTATTGATATTGTAAGCAACTATTGTGATAAATATTGATAGTTTTCAGTGTATCATTTTAGATGGATTTTCTTTTCTTTAACATTGCCAAAAGACTTCCAAACACATGATTTTCCACCCAAGTTTGTCACAAACTCCACTTGAATGTCACCCTCTGCCATTTTACTTTAAGAAGACCGGCTGCTATGCAGCAAGGGCAGTTAACTCTTATCCTCAATTGGCTGCGTTTGCGAGTGTGTTTCGGTGACTCAATCGCATGATATGGTAAATACAATCAAAACTATGGATATTCCTGACTGAAATCGATACTATTGATTAGAAACTGATTTAATAATCGATTTATTGACTTCAAGTGCTTACCAATAGCAATTTATCAATATTTCGATTTATCATGACACCCCTAGTGTCCACCACCGGTTTGTGGGTACATGATACAAAGCCACAGTTCTGTCAGTGTGTGCAGTCGTAGTCTAGATTTGGCTTGAATCATCTGGTGGCATCGAGGCTTGAAAGACTCACATGAGTGTCAGCCCGGGAATAATCTCCAGTGTGGGAGTACATTTCTAATGAGAAGCACTAATATTCAGCTTGGTCCGTCATACTACTATACAGGACATGCTTATTGAATGAACGGTTTAATAGTTTCATCGATCACTTGATGCTGACTTCAGTACATCATCAATACCATGTGTATAGTCACAACAGCCATCAAAGGTATAAGATAATTGCAGCAAGCTGTAACCTTGGTTACCAACATATTGATTGATGAAACAGGTGTCGCAAAACAACATGTTCCACAGCGTTTTTTGTCTGTATTTTTTACATTTTTTATTTTTTACAATAACAAACCTAGCATGTCCAGTGTTACAATATTTAACACTATCAAACCTAGCATACGACAGTCATAGCGTTAAGATGATATAAATATCCATATCCTATCATTGACTTACAACAGTCGTAGCACTAAGACGATAGTAACACTCATACCCTAACATCGACTTATGACAGTCTTAGCACTGAGATAATTTTAACACCTACACCCTAACACTGACTTATGACAGTCTTAGCACTAAGATCATATAATATTACTGCCCATACCCTAACACTGACTTACCACAGTCCTAGCCTAAGGACAATAGTAACACCCATATTCTAACACTGATTTACAACAGTCACAGCACAAAGTCGCTAGACTACACTATGGCTAGCACTACTTCCCACTGCTGTCCATCTAGCAGAATTAATCATGAAAGTCTCAAGAATGAGAGCATTATGGCAGCCATTATATCTTAGCTATGTAGTGATGGAAGTGAGTGAATGTTGTTAAATGCGGCAGTCAGCAATATTTTATCATCAGCATAAATATTAAAGTCGGACCAGACAAACCAGTGATCGACATTACAAGAGCAGTCCATGCAGTTGGGATGTAACCAGGTCATACACCCAACCCCTGTCATCCCATGAAGATCTGGGGTAGAATAGGTCTTCAGCAACATATGCTTGCTGTAAAAGGCGACTATGCTTGTTGAAAGAGGCGACTAACGGGATCGGGTGATCCGACGCGCTGGCTTGCTTGATGCATGTCATTGTATCCCAATGATGTCAATCACTGGATTGTCCCAGACAAGATTATTTACAGACCACCATTATATAGCTGGAATATAGCTGAGTGTGGTGTTAAACAACAAACAAAGAAACAGAGGTCCAGATAACTTCTTGTCCATTGAGTTTTTAGTCGATGGTTTCTATTTTAATTGGGTTATTACATTTTTTCATTGGGTAACCTATATTTTTTCACTCATCTATTCATCACTCTATTGGGTTTTCACAAAATGAGTACACATTTTAAGATTTAAAAAAAAAAGGCTTGGCTCGGAATGTAAATAAGCTCGTAATTAAGATTTGGAAATTAGTTCCGCTGTACGCATGCTGAAAAAGCTTCATTGTGTATTTACATGAGCTGTTTTTATACATTTGAGTTGAGTTCTGTATGCATTTAATTGAAAGGAATTGAGTTTTGAATATTTTTTGGGGGGTATTTTATGCAAATATGCTGCTTATCTGTAGCTCTGAGAAACCAACTTCATCCTTATCACATGGCACTTTGAGCAATGTTCCCTGTACCTTGTTGAGCAGTGTGTGGGCTACCCTCTGTGGGTATTCGTGGTCTCCGATGAGAACTCCTGACAGTCCGTCACTCCTCACGTACACATGACACATGTATTCTGAAACAGTGAATCATCGCCAGTCTTCACACACGTCAGTGTTCGTAAACCAAGCAGAGCCTGGGGTCTTTGAGATAAGCTGTTACAGTACAATGTATACAAATCAAGGGATCCCCGGAATCATTAATTCTTAACATTGGGGTCAAGACAAGGACTCCTTGACCACTGCAGATCACTCAGATCACAATTAACATCAGCTCGTCACATCTCACAACCACATGACATGGATTCTGAAAAAGTGAATCAATGCCCATTTTCTCACTGAACATAAAGATCAGCCCCATCACCATAGTCACTCGTCAAATACACAATCACAGGTAGTCCCAGACAGTGAATTGCCTGCTTCGAACAGTATTTCAGTTCTAACTTATATCAATCAGCTCTAACTTTATCAATCAGCTCTAACTTATATCATTCAGTTCTAACTTATATTACTCAGTTCTAACTCATATTACTCAGTTCTAACTTATATCACTCAGTTCTAACTTATATCATTCAGTTCTAACTTATATCACTCAGTTCTAACTCATATTACTCAGTTCTAACTTATATCACTCAGTTCTAACTCATATTACTCAGTTCTAACTTATATCACTCAGTTCTAACTCATATCACTCAGTTCTAACTTATATCACTCAGTTCTAACTCATATTACTCAGTTCTAACTTATATCACTCAGTTCTAACTCATATTACTCAGTTCTAACTTATATCACTCAGTTCTAACTCATATTACTCAGTTCTAACTTATATCACTCAGGTCTAACCTCTATCACTCTGTTCTAACCTACATCACTCAGTTCTAACTTACATCACTCCGTTCTAACTTATATCACTCAGTTCTAACTTACATCACCCAGTTCTAACTTATATCACTCAGTTCTACCTGAGATGTCAACTTGATATGCGAGGAAACACTGAAGTGACGCATGTCAAAGACACCTTCAACTTTGAAGAAACCGATGCATGAGAATGGTTCAGAAAACTTAGAAAAATAAATCAGGGCAAATCTGGGACATGAACATGTGATTCTAGCTTTCTGTTTTTTTCCCAGTTTCTGTATGGACAATAACACAGGATCATGTTGTGTAAGTCCTACCGTTTTCCTTGACGGAAGCTCTGGAGCATGTAGCTGTTCTCTCTGTGATAATCTTACTCGTGAAATCCATGAACTCCTTGATGCTGCAACAAACATCTTATAAATGAACAATCTACTCTGACACTCGCAGTGTTCTATCTTTATCATGTTTATGCAAATGTGCATATTTTTAGTATGTCAGCTACAAACAATTACCCAGTGTTCCTGTAGGTTTTTGAAACTGCCAGTCCTGCTAGACTGTCAACTCGAAAAATTACCAGTGCCCCCTAATTTTTGTCAGTCCCAACTTTCAACAACTGCCAAAAAGGACCAAAATTACCTGGTTGTAATTCCTTCAACATAATGTTAAATGCAATGACGTCATCTCTGAAGTAACTTAGTTAGATCTACACGTCATTCACACAAGGTTCAGTCACAATTTTCTCATATTTTTTTTAATTTTTCAAAACTAAGTCGCTACAAATATATATATTTAACCTTGAAACAATGCAAAATGTTATTTCCTTGCACTAAAAATAGAAAAGGGGAAACACTGACAAGAGAAAACAAGCTGACTTCGTTCGAAAAATATATTTATATGAATATCGCAGATGTTTTGTTCAAAAACAAAGATTTGGGAACTTTATTTCTTGGTCCAAAGGGACTGGCAGTCACATAAATTATCGGTCCAAGCCTAATTTGACCAGTAAAAAACTGGTATTTACACTGATGACCTCATACTCAACATTGCTAAATTATTTTATTATAGCAATATAGAGAGAGCGAGTATTCTAGTGAATGAGTGAGTTAGGTTTAACGCCGCTTTTAACATTATTTCAGTTATATCATGGCGTGTCAGCTTAATGTGGGAGGAAAGCCCGAAGTGATGCAGGTCTAAGACGTTTACCACTTCGGTGAAACCCACGAGCATGGGTATGGTGCTGACAAACCTAGAACATAATTGGGGCGAACCGGGGTTCGAACCCACAATCATAGGTTTCTGGCGTGCCCAAGGGACGCAACTCTGCACAGTGAATCGCGGCGCCTTAGATGACTGGGCCACCCGTGCCCCTGCAAGTATTCTAAGCTGACAACTGCTGCCTTGTTAGGACTATTTGTTATGTAAACTTCTATGTTATTACAATTGCATTCCATTACCAATAAGTACCATTGTCATGTCCAGGTATAAAAGGCATGTAGCCTAATTGTTCTGAATAAAGAAAGATTGAAAAACATTGATTGGAGGAATGTTGTTGCAAACTAATTCACAGCTTACTCTTCAGCACTACAACGTCTAGTCTGGGCAAGGCAAATCAGTGGCAGATAGCATGAGCAAGGATCCAAGTCACAACACCACGCAGTTAGATCTCACATAACCAACCAATCCTCAGTATCCAAAAATAATACAAAACTTCTGGTAGGGAAAAGTTAATGATAAAATTCAAATTTAAAATATATCTTTCTATTTCCTCAGACTGTTATTGTGTAAAGTAGGTAGACCATGTTTATATGTCAACATTGTGAGGCAAGTTCAGAGTTCACTTCCTTTCATTAAAGACCAGGATCTGTCGCGATTCGTCATAATAGTGAGTGTGGTTTTATGCCGCTTTTAGCAATATTCCAGCAATATCACGGTGGGGGACACCAGAAATTGGCTTCACACATTGTACCCATGTCAGGAATCGAACCCGGGTGTGGTTAAATATATCTTAAATAATTATTTAAACTGATAATGACAGAAAATTAATTAATTTACTTATTTCTGATCAGCAGAATAAAACAACAACACTGTTTATCATTTTTATTTTTTTCTGTATTACAAATTTTGGAAGTTGGCAGATTCATAAACCAACTTTGAAATATAAATGGTCTAATTTTAGGGCTAAGATTAACCCCTACAACTATCACAAGTTACCTGCTCCTCTGGAAGTAGCCAAAAGATGACACTTCATGGGCTACAGCCATCTCTTTAACCTTGGAGGACCCATCTTTATATAACACTGTTAATCCAAACAGCTTCATGGCTGCTGATTTTCTCCTCTGATCTGTGGTAGGGAAAACACATGACAAAAATGTTCAAAATGTACAGTGTTTAACATTTTAACAAAGACAGCATGGAAACATAAACAAAAATATAATGGCTTGGTTAGCTTGTTGTTGCTGTAACGACATGGTGAAATATGCAGGAAGAAGAAGCAACTCCACTACACATGTCTGCTGGAATCAGCCAATATTTGTAAAATCTCCAGTAATGGTGGGCATGAGTGTTTTTCAAGTCATGGTGGTCATTTTCAAGCAAAACTCGAACAACCTTAAAACCTTAAATTTAATCATGTTAATTGGATTAACTATAATACTAGGGTGTGATAGCTAACCCTAACTAAGAAGCACACCTAACACTAAAGACTGCAATGTGGAGTTTGATTGGCAAGCAGTGCCCAGCCCTTAAAGTAGGGAGTATGATTGGGAAGGTATGCTTGATTGGAAAGGGGATCAAATGGCTGAGGATAAGAGTTGGGTGTCACCTAACGGTTAAACCCCTGAGCCAACTTGCTCTTTAAGCTGCAGTGGATTAAAGTGTATTAATGTAAATAAACTAGACTTCAACAAAAATCAACGTATCGTGGTTGGTCATGGATGGGTAACTCGGGTTGGGTGGGTACTGAGTAGGACCCTGGCACCCATTGGACAACCCAGACCCCTGGTTAGTCATGTGATACATTATGCAATGACAATAACAATCAACCTCCATGGTTACACTCCAAGTCACTAATGTTTGTACTTTTCTATGACTATGCATTCGTTCTGAATTTCATACATCTAAGTAAAGATAAAGCTTCAACTTCAGTGTGTGCATCAGATATTTTTATGTGTATATCCGTGTAAGTTATTACTAGGGCTTGGATAAAAACATTCACATTTGGGGCATTCTGTACCCAACTCATGAGACCCAAAGTCGGTACCCTGCGAGTAAGTTTGGCCTCGTCGCCGCCCTATATCGATATCGTGGACATAGACCGAATATGTTTATTACATTCTTACGGGATTAAGACAATGACGATATAACCCTTTATGTTAATGAGACCAAAATACTGAAAACTAACGCAAAGAAGATACAGGTTCATGTTAACTAGTACGCAGTTGTACTTACATCACTCAAATCACTTGACAGTGACACTGACAAGCTTGTAGGAAAGGCAATAGTCCTACGCGTCGGCAAAAAAACTGGTGGATACTTGTGGAACGCAGAAGCAAACACAGTCAAGATCCTGACGCTTCAGTAAATCGTAGGGTAGGTTGTATATTGTAAATGGATAAAAGGTTCGTTAGGTCTCTGTTCAGTATGTACCACTAAACACAAGTTTGATATCCAACAGAAGTGCCAAGTTGGTCGTGACTGATACCGGATATGACGTCACGTTAAGCAGAGTTATCTGGAAGGGAGAGTTCCGTACTTTGTCATGTACTTCGGACAGGGTTACATTAGCATGTACAGTACAGTGATGTGCATTCGCACATCACTGTGAGGAGCTTTAAAAGCCAAAACGGTTGCATGATCTGAGAACTTATATTAAACCGAATAATGCAAAGACAAAATATACTAATTATAGAAAAAGACGCATACCTCTTGTCAAACGCCGGTTGAAATAAATTTATGATGAAATTAAAAGTGAACATTTTTATTAAACGCGAACACTCAGAGATTGGTAATTTTTGTCGGGGGTGGTGGTCTTAGGACCCCATGGTCCCGCACATAAAGCGTCAACATGGACAAAAAACTACTCCTGCAGGCACAACATGAAGTCCAGACATGGGCACATAAATGTAGCTTCTCGTTAAACGCCGAAAAAAACACTGGATTAGAGCACCTTTAGAATAAAGTACCACGAAAACACCACTGGAGTAGTATACAAATATAAAAGTATGCGCCCAATCACCCCCAAACTCCACGGACAAAATAATCCCATCAAACTCCAAAAACAAACCAAATTCCTAGGACTTATCTTCAACTTACCAAATAGGTGCACTAAGGATCTAAACACCCTCCGCTGCCCGGTAGGCTCAAGTATGGGGGCCTCCAAGGAGACCCTATTATCCCTTTACACTTCGCTAATTAGGTCAAAAAAGGACTACGGCTGCGTAAACTATAATACTCTAAACACCACATTGAATAATACATTAAATTCAATCCAAAATCAAGCACAAAAAACAATCACACGCATCAGAGACCATATAATAGATATAATATAATAGATATAATATCACAAAGCACATTAGACTACATAACTAAATAATCCTAAACAAGCTAAGACAAAACACCGAACCCAGAATATCTCACATATACATAACAAATCCCTCAAATTAATACATCACTCTCTAAAATAAATAAAAAAACACACACCACACGACACTAGCATACATACATGAGCAATGGCCAAATTGGTGCAACATCTACACAGTCGGGTCCTCTGGCCCGGGCTCAAAACGCATTCGGAATCCACATATCTAAACTAATTAAGCAATCAAAATCTTATAGGCTCCCGGACAAACAATCGGTCTTTGCGGCCGACCTCATGGGCATGGCTACGGCCTTACGCAACTCGCTAATCAAACAACACCAAAAATCCAAATTCTAACGGACTCGCTGAGCGAGCTCCGAGAAATTAAAAACATGAAAAAATATGAAAAACCAACCAAAACTAATAAACCAAATACTGAATAGCACGCAACAGCAAAAAAAAATATAAAAAATAACAAACAAACAAACTTGGCAACCAAATAGAATTCCTTTGGGTCCCTGACTCCCAGCCCATGTCAAAGTGTTTGGCAACGAACACAGCGACCAAGCAGCCAAAGCGGCCCTCAAACTACCAAAAAGTGAGCCTAAATCTACCTATATCCCAAAATGAGATAAAAAGCCCAGCTAAACAAAAACATTTCCAAAAGTGTCAAACTAAATACCTAAAATTCAAATTGTATTCTAATACAGATGCCCCAAAAGCCATTAAAAACTAAAAAACTACCACAAATCTAAAAATATTGACAGGGCAATAACCAAACTACAAACAGTCCACACCAGACTAAACTCCCTCCTAAATAAAATTAAGAAACGCCAAAAGGGGCAAATGCACACACTGGAACCAAACAGAAACACCAGAACATGTCCTACTGGACTGCACGCACTACAAACAACACAGACTGACGCTTCAGAGCAAACTGGACATCAACACACACCTAACATTACAAAAACTCCTAAGCCCGTTACACAATACACAAACCTTTAAAGCCTGAGGGGCGGTCGGGTAGCCTAGTGGTTGAAGCGTTCGCTCGTCACGCCGAAGACCCGGGTTCGATTCCCGACATGGGTACAATGTTTAAAGCCCATTTCTGGTGTCCCCCGCCGTGATATTGCTGAATATTGCTAAAAGCGGATAAAACCATACTCACTCAATTTAAAGCCTTAGGCATCTTCCTAATCAAAACTGGCCTTCTATGCCGTATATAATTACACACACACAAAAATTCACCACCAATCTAAAAACCCAAACAAACAAAAACAAAAACAAATCACACCACCCCTACTCTCCCTTCGTTCCCCGGCCGCGTCATACCAAAAGACGTTAAAAGGGTCTAAAACAAGGGCTGGTCGGCTATACTGTGTCTGAGTGGGGTATTCATGTTAACCTGCGGCATGGTATCTTAGTGTGCTAGCACGGTCCATACTAGTACAAGCAGCCACACGCACGCACGCACGCACGCTCGCACGCACGCACGTCGCTATAATAAGTACAATAATCTTGGACGCGACGTTAAATCCCATTTCACCTCACCTCACCTCGTCCCTCCACCTCGGGCAAAATTCCAAATTTCAAATTCTTCAAAATCTAAATATGCAACCCTAACGCCCCCTCGGGTTGCCTCTTCTGTCGCACAAACCCTTCCTTCCTTCAAGGCAAACAACACGAAAATGGCCTGGATGGCCCGCGTGCGAAGTACGAATAATGTCGGAAAGCGCACGTAAAATCTCCAAATCATCACCTTCATCCCTTAATAGAACTGGATATACACCTTGATGGAAGATGTGTGGTTCAGTCACGCGGAGTATAGTGCAGTGGAGATACGTATCGTCCTGTACAACATCACTACATACTCCATTCATCAATCAACTACTGTCAGTACTGAGACTTTTGAAGATGTACTTTTTCAAAGGCTCTGAAAAGTGTTACTGTTATGCGACAAATTTAACGACTATTTGAATGGTTTCAAATCTCGGCACGTACCTATTCCGTTTGGAAACCGAAAACGATTTATTCGTTGATAAAAGCGGAAAAGCCTCGACAAGCCTCGGAGTTTTTCCACTTTTATCAACTCGTGTTGATATATGTGATATCAAAAGACACTCGGGTGAGATTCTCTATTTATTACTTGCCCGTGAAGAGATCACCCGTTTAATAAACATACAGCTGTATTACACATTGTGTAATACCAAAACGCGTGCTTATGTACTCTCGGAACACGTTTCACGAACACATTTTGAAAGCTCTCAACATCCCTTGGCTTATTCAACGACATTGCGTGTGGAGATGTTAGATCACTGAGATGAGCTTATGCACACTCGATGACCCCAGCAACCTTGTTGCTAGGTTGACGTCACATGGCATTGTTTCGCCAAAGGATCTTGCAACAAAATTCCACAAATTACGTCATCGGGTATTGTGACGTGATTGTGAACTTTGATGTGCAAAGCCCCGTTCGACAAGGCGATCGTGCGGTAGCGCGACGACAGTCGTTGGTCTAAGTTAAAGTATATGAGTTGCGATAACCTTAACGCTACGATAATTTTGTGGAACGGGCGCCTGAATTCTAAAGGTGGACTGTTGTCTGATATTAAATTCATACGTTTCAACTTTTGACGTGTTTGAGGTATTACTGTGTAAAACTCAATTAGATTATGCCGTGGATCGTGTAGGTGTCAGCCTATTCACACTCAACAGTATAATTCTAGAAACGTTATAAATGGCCAGTAATAAATAAAATACTAAACTCGCTCCCGTGTAAAACCAATTTTATGAAACTCGTGAATAGTTATGGTATCTGACTCGCTTTCGCTCGTCAGATACCACAACTGTTCACTCGTTTCATAAAGTTGGTATTACACGGGAGCTCGTTTAGTATTCTATATATGTGTCCTCGGGTCATATCACATCACGAGACAACAGTGTATTGTTTCCGTCATCCGGACAGCACTGTTGACGTCATTCAAATCTTATTGTGACGTGTGGTCGGAATGACGACACACTAGAAACGACGTCATACTGAAGATTGTTGACGTCATTCGACAAATTGGGGATCCGCTGCTGTTGCGACTTGCTGTCCTTACACAAGTTACAGGTAAACACTAAAATTCGTCTCTTCTTCGGTAATAAATAGAACATAATATTCTAGTTCATGTCATACTATGTTTACGACACGATTGCCTAAATTCCGGTATTTCTCTCGCTCGGGAAATATCGGAATTTCGACACTCCTGTCGTAAACATAGTATGACATGAACACGAATATAACATCCTCTACAAATGTCTGTGCAAGAAATATGCGATTTGTTGAATTGCATGGACGTAATGTGTCGGAACTGGAAAAGGAAACAGTGGATAATATGTACCGCACTGTCTTCCTAAGTGGTATCATATTGGCGAGAGTTCGGGAATATACTTTCTACAACTATGCCTTATTTCATGTATACAGTCAGTAGCTGAATCAAAGGCGTCCCTCGGGAAATTTCACAGAGGGTTGTTTTTAAAACCTTCTACGTAAATGTTTAGTCACACAAACTACTAGTCCTCGGGGGTAAGAATAATCCCATCAAGGAACGCCTCCTCAGTTTAGTTCATCATAAATGTGTTAGATAGGTTATCTCCCCTGTCCAAACTTGTAGGGTGAAAACTGTTTGATAAAATATCAAAAGATGGATCCTCCTATGTATATAAACATGTAAGCAAACATATCTGAATCATGGGATTCCGGGTAGAAAACGGTCTCCTGTAAACGGTGCTTGTAAGATGTGGCCAAATGTATCGGATGGTCAGGCTCGGTGACTTGGTTGATAGCGTGTCATTGTTTCCCATTATGCTCATGGCGTCAATCACTGGATTGTCTGGTTCAGACGCGATTATTTACAGACCGCCGCATGTAGGTTGGATATTGCCGAGTGTGCATGGCGCTAAACAACAAACAAACACATCAGAGTTAATTATTACCAAAGCAAATAGTTTATCAAAGCACTTGTTAACTAACGCACGTGACATAAAATCTTTTCAGGTCAGTTTTGAAAGTGTGAGTTAATGCATTTATAACCCGATAACATGAGCGAGTGTCAGTTAATTAATTAACACAAATAACTTGTTTGTCTAAATTGTTTCGGATGAAAGCCG